TTATTATTCTTATTAATATTTTTTGTTGTTTGTTTTTTTTTTTAGTTTGTATTTTATTTCAAGAAAAGATAAATATGAATAATAAAATTCTAAATAATTATGGTATTTGTTGTAAACAAACAAAAATCTTCCTAAAATATTATTATTATTGCAAATGTTTGGGGGGAATTTGTTTTTAAATATGTTAATATATTTTCATTTTTTTTTAATTTTTGTTTAATTTTTATAAGGCGTAAAATATCATCATCAAAAATTGACATACACTAGGATTGTATTTGTTTGTTTTTTTTTTATTATTATTTTTTTTTATTTTAAATAATATATATGTATATTATAATGTATATAGTAATTATATATACAAAGTTATATATAAATGTATATTATATATTTGAAAATTGTTAAAAATTAATGCACAAACAATATGCATGTGTATTGTATGTGTTTTATAAATATAATATGTATGGTAAATTATATAAAAGATTGTAAGAAAAAAAAAACAATATCAACAATTAGAAAAGCTTTAAAATTAATCAATACAAAAAAATTGTAAATACATTTTTATGTTTGTAAAAATAAGTTTTTGATAAATGTTTTTAAATTATTTTATTGAGTGTAGTTTACTGTATAAATAATTAGTTTTAATATTTATTAGTGAAAAAACTCGCAGTCAAAATTTACGTAATTAGTAGTGTCAAACATTTATACATCCCTGTTCTGCAAACCGAATCATTTTTAAAATTTGAATGTCTGACTTATTTAACAACTAACACTAAAATGGAACAAATAAAACTGAAATATGCTCTTTATTAAATTACTAATCTAGTTTTAAAATTTTGGGCTTCAAATTGCTTAGTTTTCGAAGTCGGGTTTGAACACGTTGCTAACAAATGACATATGTAGTCGTGAAATTAGTAATAAAATGCTAAATAAAACTTAAATCTACAACTATTAGTTATCGTCAATCAATAAATCGCATTTAACTGTGGCGATGATTTAGTTTTGTGGAAATATCGATGAAAATTGTCATTTTTGTTTATTATTCCTCAAATAACGTTAGTTGACAACAGTCTTATGGGTCGGTTATGCAACGGAACTACAGTTGCGTTGCCAGCTTATAAAGCAATACATTGTTTTCGGTCTAGAAATTACAAAGTCAAGCAAAAACTCATAAGACTAATGAATAAAACATTCATTACTTATAAAGTTTCTATTTAATCTTGTTCAAATTTATTGGCTAAATGCATTGTATTTGAAAAGATATTTCTTTCGAATCAATAGTCGAAGTAATCACTATCTTTCTATCGAATCGAGTTTCGAGAATAATCGCCCAACTATAAAATAATGCTGACGATGTTGATCAAAATTCGAGTTGAAAACATTTTGAGAATAATTTGAAAAAACATTCCAATTTTCTTAAGGTATGTTCACACCTATCAAATATTGGACGAGATTTACTTGACCCCCCAAAAAATCGACATTTACATTTTAGGAAACATTTATTTACTCAAACATTTAGTTTCGACATTATTTGCAATTAAAAGAATCACATAAGATCAAGAAAACATCTACAAAAATTAGTGGTTACTTCTTTTTCGTCAAATATTTGATAGGTGTGAATGTAGCTTACAAATCATACAAATTGAGAAAGAATTATTATAAACTAAATTTGTATTTCAAAATTTAATGCGGATTTTGCATGATAAATCGATTTCAGATTATATTATAACGTTAACATTAATGGTCAAGTTCAAATTTAAGACAGGCAACAGTTGCCAGTTACTGGCAATATATATTTTTAATATAACAAAGAGACCCATAGACTAACTTTAGTGAATAAAAAATAGTGTTGTTGGATGTACAAACTTACGAGTTTTGCATTCTCCATTGAAAGATTTTATAGATTTTCTTTATCGAAAATTTCACTTTAAATGGAAATTCTTTTAATATTACATGTCTTAAAAAGTCTGTGCAGATCCTTTATAATCAAATGTTTTTCAACAAGTGCTCTCCCTTAAAAATGCACAAAATTTAAAAACTTTCCATGGGTCACGTACTTTTTTTCTTATTTCAGAAACAAATGAAAAAATATACAAAAAGAAAGAAATTAATTATTAAAATTAAATTTTATTAAATAAAATAAAAACATTTTAGGTGGAAAAGTTAACAATAACATATTTTTCTCTTTTGTTTTTCGTTTTATTAAGCGTGTACTAAATCAGCGTACAGTAGTGTAAATTAAAAATATAAAAAAGTATACAAAAAGTGTGAGAAAAGAAAAAGAAAGACGAACATAAAAGTTATAGAAACAAATAAAAAAACGAATAAAATAAAATATTATATAAGTGTGTATTAATTATGCAGTATATGACTAGTGTTGCATATAATAAAGTAAATGTTCGTAAAATAAACAGAAAAAATGTAAAGTTATGGCCAATCCGAAAATAAATTTGGTAAAAAAATAAACAAACAAAAACTAAAAAATATTAATAAATTATTAAAAATATAAAAAAATATTAATAAATTATATAAAAATACTTATTGAATAAAAAAATAGAGAATTTTTGTATATAAAAAAATGCATTTGGTTTTTAATTTAATACAACCTGTTTCAGAACAAAACTAAATTGAATCGATATAATTTTAATAGTCTTGGTATTTTTAACACTACTGTACGTTTTACTTAAATATTTTGTTTGTTTTTTTTTTTGCATTTTCATTAAAAGAAATATTAATATAACAACAAAGAATAAAACGGATTACAAACTTATAAATTAAAAATAAAATTAGATAAGTAAAGTATAATTATTGTATGAAGATTGACTTAAATAAAGTTTGTTTGTTTGTTGGTTGCTTTATAATATCATTAAGTTAAGCAAATTGGTGGAAAAGTATAAACTATAACAAGAAAAAAATACAACATTTTTGTAAAACAGAAAAAAATAATTATTTAACTAATAAAAACTATACTTTAATATCATATTTAAAAATAGGCATTTTTATGTATTAAACCTCTATGATGCGAAAAAATATGTATATTTAAAAATATAATATAATAAAAAAATATTTCTTTTTTTTTAAGTTTTGTTTAACAAAACTTTCTTTGTTTGTGTTTTGTAAATTGAATAATAAACATAATTCTAAGAAACAAAACTTTAAACTTAATAGTTAAAGTAAAAGCTTATGGAATTACAGTTTTTTTGGGTTTGTTTTTAATTTCTTTTTTATAAAAACAAAGTTTAAAGTTTTAGATATATTATATAAAAATAAAAATATGATCATGTAAATTAATATTTATTTTTTTTTTTTTTTTTGTTTTTGTATATATATAATAAAAGTATGTATATTTTTTAACTAATTTATCAATTGATTGAAAAAATTGCATTATTTGTTAATGTAAAAAAATATGTTAAGATAATAATAATAAAAATATATTTAGGTGTGTGTAAATATTGGTTATTTTATTAGCTTTTGTTTTGTAACGTCTTATCAAAATGCTTGAAAAAGAAAATTATAATAAATGAAAATCGAAATTAAAATTAAAGGTAAAAAAATTAATCACACAAAATTTTATTCAAGCCGACTATAGGCCACAGCGTTGTATGTTCAACCGAAGAAGTATTTGAAATACGGTATAATGTCAAACAATTTATATTTTATTTGAATAATCTTAGATTTTCATAATAAAATTCTGTAATGCGTCTTAAATCGTTAAGGGAATAATGTAAAAATTGTTAATGTAAATTCAAAACTTTGAAACTTTTTTTAAATTTCAAAAAGGACACTTAGATTTAGAAATGTTCAAAAATATTAGTATTATTATAAATAAAGAGCATTTTAAATTTACGGCTAGTAGTGGAACAAAATTTGTTTTCGAGTTGTTAGCTTATTTTTTATAATATTTTCAAAAGTGAATTGGATTACAGAAATCTAGAATATGAAAATTGGTTAAAACCAAATACAATGTGAATGAAAAACTATGTGCTATTTGCTAAGAACACATTCACAGTGATTAAACTTTTTATATTCGAAAATAATTATATATATTTAATTTAAACATTGACCATTTTGACGACGTAGTATTATTAAAAGTTTGATTTGGTTTACAGAACAGAAGCGTATAATTTTAATTTAGATATTTTAAAACCGAGGTTGAGAATGATTGAATTTAATATTGAACATTTAACCGATATTGAATTTGCGACCACTTCGAGTCCATCAAATACTTGTGTGTATGTGTGTGTGTGGGCGATTAATATTATTAAATGTAAGTAAAAAAATTAAAATGTACGTATGTATAATGTATATTATATAAATAGTAAAGTAAAATTTGTTTTGTATATGACTATTAAATTAACAAATAAAAAACTACATATTTAAACAGCCAAACATTACAAATATATATGAAAAATTGCCTTTTTTTCTTAAAAAAAAGAGAGGGAGCTTTTAAAACAACTTTCAGTTTTTCTTTCCATTTTTCAGGTTTGATATTTTAACTACATAATATTTATATTCTAAAATTTACAAAAAGAAAGCTATTAAGTCTGCCTTATTCAAATTAAAACATAAATTGTAGAATTAAAAAAAAAAATAATTAAATAAATGTCAACATGTAGTAATGACAATTGTATAAACAAATATAGGCTGAATAAGGCAGAAAGAATTTTAAAAATATTTAATTTTTTTCTTTTAGTTTTTTTTTAGCTTTTGTGTGCTTTGTTTAAAAAATTGTTACTTGTTTTTGTTGTTGTAGAGAAAAACATTAATTTTGGTACTACTTAAAAATATAAATATGTTTTCTTAAAGGATTGCTTTTGGGTAATTCTTGTAATCGTTGTTAATGCTTATAGTAATATAAAAAAGGTATGATTGGTATAGATTTTTTAATAAGTTTTTTTTCTTTTTGTTTTTCTTTTAATTTAATTTTAAATTAAAAACTACAGCCTCGCATAAAAATAATTTTCAACTAATTATATATGTATATATATATGTGTGTATATATATTTCTTTTCTTTTTTTTTTTGTATTTTCGACATTTTCTTTTTTCGTTCGTTCAAAACTGTATATGGTGTAATTTAATGTATACATGTAAAAAAAATTCTTTTGTAATAGTTAATAAAAAAATATTATTTTTAAATTATATATTTCTTCTTTACAATAAAAAAAAATAAATATAAAAAAATAAAATAAAAAATACAATAAAAATGACAAGAAAATATTTGAAACACATAAGTTAATATTAAATTAAATAAACAAAGTAAAATATTAAAAACTTATTTGTTTTTTGTTTTTTTTTTTTTCATTTCTTTTTAAGTTAAAAATTTGTTTGTGTTTTTATATATTTAATATACTAAAACATTTGTTTATGTAAATAGTTTAAAAAGTAAATTACTTATTTAAAAAAAAGTTAACAAAGTTTATTTTTATTATAAAAAAAAAATAACACAAGTGAGTAAATAAAAAATAATGTCTTGGAAAACCAGCCTTATTTAAAAAATAACATGGGGAAATTGATTCAATTAAAAAGGAATATAATGTGTTTACAGATTAAATACATTTACGAGCTAACAAAAAGTAAAAACTTTTCTTTAAAATAATATAATAAAAAAGGAAAACATAACAAAATTAAAAAAGTATTAAAATAACAATATTTATAGGTTTTGTTTTTAATTATGTTTTTTTTTTTTTTGTTTTTGTTTTTCTTTACATTGCAACGTTTTTAAAACATTTGTTGTTTTTTCTTTTGTATTGTTAAGTTTAATTGTTTAAAGGCAAAAAAATAATAATTAAAAAAAAGAAACAATTTTTGTTTTTGTAAATAAGTTTGTTATTTAGTGATGAACTATATATTAAAAAAAAAAAAAACAAATAAAAACGATTTGAATACAAAGAGATCAAAATATTTTATAAATTGTATGCTTGGTTTTTGAGATTTATTTTTGAAAAACAAAAAGTGTTTTTTTTTTTCTTTTTTAATTTTTAATCGAATATTCTGTTTCATTTTTTTTGATAAAATTTAAATTAGTAAATTTTCATATAAAATAATCTTGTATAAGAAAACTTTTTTTAAATTCTACCGTAAAATCTTTAAGTAATAAAAATAATAAAAAAAGGAATATATTTTAAAATAAAAAAAATCTCTTCATATAATTATATACTATATATGTATGTATATATGTATATAAGCTATAATAATATTGTTGTATATAAAAACGGCCTTTTGTTTGTTTGTTTGTTGTTAATATTTTTAACTACATTTAAAAAAGTGTAAAGTGTAAAACGATGTAGAATATAATAATTTATAATAAAAGTAGTAATAGTTGTTGTAGTAGTTATAATAATAGTAAGAAGAGGTGTTTAAAAAAAAATATGATTTTTTTGGCTTTTGGCGGCGTAAATTCAAAATTTCGTCGTATCTTTGGAGGCGTTGTTATAATTATGTGTTTATAGTTTTTGTTTCTTTCTTTTGCTTTGTTTTGTTTGTTACTTTATAATTATAATATTAATAAAAAATAATGAAAATACAAAATATTATTGCCTTAAATTTCATCATAATCTATAAAATGTAATTTGTTTTGTTCAATATTATCACCATTTTCATTATAAAGCTGCTTGCTAATTAAAGGCAAATTGAAATTCATTGCTGCTAAATCTGCTGTTGACACCGCTGATGCTGATACTGCTGCTGTTGGTACTGCTCCTGTCGAAGTTGATAACGACGATATATTTAGATTTTTACTAACAACCGTATTATTGGCTGTAGGAAAAACTTTGGTTTTCAACTGAAGTTGCGACTGTGACTGCGATTGAGATTGTGGTTGCGGTAATTGTTGTTGTTTTTGAATCAAATTTTGCTGTTGCTGCTGTAGCGGTTGTTGCTGATGACGATTATGATATTTGTTTATATTTAAAGTTTTTCCACATTGTAACAAATCGTTTCTTGCACTCAGTGCTTTTCTTTTTTGCAATCACTGAACATACAGAGTGTTGAGCACTAAAACATGATGGTTATTTTTAGCCAAAGTAACAACATAACCTTCCGAAGTAATCTTTAAACCGCAGCAACGCGATACCTGTGTTTAAATAAATTTGTAATTAAGTTGGAACATGTAAATAAAAATGTAAAAAATTAATGTCAAAATCTATGGTACTTTTTTCATTAAAACGTATTGAAATGTGGATAGATCTACAACCATATGTTTTTTCCACATTAGTTCCCCGTTTTTCTACCACGCTTTTTAAAAGTATATAAATTCTTTCTTTGATTTAAAAAAAAATACAGAAATGAGGAACAGTAAAAATTCTATAAAGGCAAGAAAATGTAAGAACTCCAAGGGATTGATAAATCTGAAGAGGATTTGTTCAACTTATACTTATCCTCATATATATAACAAATAATTATACACATATAATAATGTTATAGTTTACAGGATTTTTGTTTAAATTTAGAAGTGAAGACTTACCTTGACATGTGGGCACTCAAACTCCGATTGCAATATGCCATCACGCGAATAGCAAGCAACATGGAAACGATTGCCATGAGAATCCCCAATCAATATGTCACCAGCATTAGAAATGTCAATTCCATTGGGGAAACAAGTAACTTTTTCATTACCAATACGATACTGGAAAGTACCGTCCTCGTGGAAGACAGCTACACAGTGGCCTTTAAAATCACATACGTAAAAATCGTTGTCTGGAAGACAAAATTTAATATTGTAAATGTAAGCGTGTGTGTTTATGCATTTGGCTTTCGTATAGATACCATACCTCTAATAGCGATATCCGAGGGTTCACGCATATAGTCGCTGCAATCAAACCAACGTACCAACTCGCCATCCTCGGAAATGACGAAAACAGTGGGTGAAACACTGTCGACAGCAACAATATGCCCTTTAGACGTTACAGCCAAACCAGCTACAATATCTATGTATCTGTTGAGCGCAGAACAAGTTAAAAAGTTATAGTAATATTCAATCCGGTTTTGATCGCCAAAGAAAAAGCTTACCTGATGGCTATTTTACGCATAAAGTGACCACTCTTGGAGAAGATCTGCATACGAGAACGTTCATTGCCACGATCGCAAACCACAAATTTGCCGTTAGTATGCATTACAGCCACTTTGCGGGGATACCATAATTGACCCTCCTCCTTGCCGGGCACTCCAAAGTAGAATTTCAAATTTCCGGACTTGTCGAAAATTTCAATGCGATGATTGTTAGTGTCGGCGACGATAATTTCTTCGTCGACACCCAAGCAAAAGCCATGAGGAGAATTAAACTGTCCCTTGGATGTACCCAGCGATCCAAACTTGCAACGTATTTGCATTGGGGTGGCCTTGTTGCGACCGGTTATTATGCTGGTTGTATTGGGCGGCGGGGGTGGTGGTGCATGGAAACTAGTCATGCTCATGTCATCAACTGAGCCACCACCATTGCCACCAGGACACATCGGTGGTAAGGTGGGCAGACTTGGCGATGGTGCTGTAGGTAGGCAGTAATCTGATAATAAACAATCAATTCCAGTTGGTGAGGCTCCACTCGATAAAAGCTGATTGCTTGTCATGTCTGTGTGAAAATCTACTTGTAATATGCCAACAACAACAATAACAATAGTTATATTTATAACAAAAAATAACACGCGCCGCCATCAGCACAACAACAACATCAACAAACAATCAGTTTATTTTATTTTATATATATTTTTCGATTTAATAAGTACGTTTTCCGTTTAGTTTCATAGTTTTTTTGGTAATTTGTAATTTGAGTTTTTAACATAATTGTATATTGTATGAAGTATTATTGTTAGCCAGTGGCAACAAAAAATATTTAATTCATTAGAAAAAAGAACATTTAAAGAAAACAAAAAATCGCGTACTCAACACAGTGGTTGGTGGTAGGCAATTTGGCAGGTAATCATCAGGTATATTACAATAATAAAATTAATAATGGATCGTGGTTTAAGGAAGAATTTTGTTTTAGTTGTTTTAAATTTTCATCAATGACAGTGAGTTGGAGTGTGTGGTGGTTGGTAGTGGAGTGGAGTTGGTATGTTTTTTTCAGTTAACCAAAAATTAATAGCATTAATAATACAAATTGTTGACAACAGCATAAAAAAAGAAAAATAAAATAAATGCAAACAAATTAATAAAAAAATATAATCAAAGAAAACAAACAATAATAAATTGTTTATACATATGCGTTAGAGTGTACCGTGGACCACTTTTTCGAGGAACACCTCTCAAACGATGCGTTTTAATGTACTAAATACGAGAAAAATAAAAAGCATTTTTTTTGAAAAGATCCTGCGATTAAAAATCTTGATATCAGTACAATTGTTCAAAAAAAGCATAATATTTTCGAAAAGGTAATTTTGAGGTTATCGCAGGAAAAATAATTAAAATTTTTGTTAGTGTATTTCTGGTCCGCAAAACGACTTTTAGTGTATTATAAGGGGCAAATAATTTTCAAAAAAATCTAAAAAATTATATTTTTTAAACATTTTCTGTATAAGCTAAAAATTAGGACAATTTTTACACTTATTTCGATAAAAAGCGAAAATAATATTCCTCTCCAACCCACTATAAATCATTTTGTGGACCGAACATACTCCACAAAAAAATTTAAGATTTTTTATCCCGTAATCTACAGAAAATTACGGAATTTTTGAGTCCCATTTCGAAAAAATAAAAGATATTTTATTTTTCAAAAATTATACTGAGGTCAGGATTTTCAATCGCTGGTAGGGAACTGAGGACCAATCGAAAAAAAAAAAATATTTTTATTTTCCTCGTGTTCAGCACATTAATACGCATCGATTGATGCTGTTACTCGGGACACTCTAATATACATATGTATACTAAAAAAATAAAATAATAAATCGTATGTATGCAATTACATATGTATGTATGTTCTATTGATAATTGGAATTTTATTAAAATTTATTCAAATTATCAGCAATGAAAAAAAGATATAGTATAGATAGATATAGTAAAAATAGTTTAACAGAAGTAGTGGCGGATGAATAATTTGAAAATATAACAAGTTTTTTGATATACATAAATTTCGTATCTTTAGTAGATCATTATTGATTTCAACAGATATTAAGAGTTTTTACAACAAACTTTCTCTCCTATCAGCTAGGAATATTGTTGCCTTTTCACAAAAACTAATTACAGAGAGACAATTATGCTCTAAAGTTTTTATGAAGGTCTTAGCTGTAATAAATCGAACTTAAAAAATCTATCTCTATTTGTCATTTAGTCATTCTCCACCAAAGATTGGCAACTAATCGAATGTTCTCCTAAGAATGAACTCTCAGCTTTAGTGAAGCTATTACAAAATATTTTAGAATCTTCTTGTTCAATACTACATGGGTACCTTACTACAAAGAATGAAAATCGCAATTGTTATCGGTATTGTATTACAAAATGGTCTTCGGAATCTGGTTCAAAATTTAACTTATTTAAACATATTTTTGTGAAAGCAATTTTTTATGGAAACGATACACACACATATGCATACAAATAAAAAAACACAATGTTAAAAAACAAATATTCTCTTGAAATGTGTTGTCAAGGTTAATATGAAAAAGTCGAAAATGAAACTTACCGTTGTTATTTAAGCCTAGCTTAGCGAGAGCTTGTAGATTATTAAAAGCACGTTGATCACCAGAGAGAAGGTCAGCTAAAGTTATATGTTGGTTTTGGGCATTAGAAGCGGGAACAATCGACTGGTTGGAAGGTACAGCAGCCGGTCCAACTAGGGCGTCGTTAAGAGTATCAGGAGTATTTTCGGTAAGACTGGCAAGACGAGATAAATTGTATTCGAGTATACTGTTGTAGCCTCCATTTGGTGGTCCACCGCCGACACCTCCAGTTCCGCCGAGAGAACCATTCAGACCAGCAGCAAGACTGTTATTCATTGGATTTGCTAGAGAGTTAAGACCATTGGACGGTCCAGTACCGTTCAAAGCATTCAATCCCTGGGGGCCCATAAGTGGTCCACCGTTCAGACCAGAACCCAACTGTGAGCCACCCAAAGCTCCATTTAAGCCAGCGGAAGAAGCATTCATGTTATTATTGAGATTATTACCAGCCCCTGAGCCAATGGACCCAATGCTATTGAAACCATTTACCCCGCTGTGATGTGAAGAAGTGCTACTTTGATGTTGCAGCTGATGATTATGGTGAAGCATACCCGACTGACCTTGGGGTGGGGAATCTGGTGTAAGAACATTTGACATCATAAAACCATTTCCCAATGCATATAAATCACCATCGAATGAACTTTGCATAGAAGTTGGCAAGGAAATCGGACTGCTAGCAGTAACTGAGCTGGTCAACTGACCCTGGGAGCTGTTAGAGCAATTCATTCCCACATTGCCGCCTCCATTGCCAACACGACCACCGTTCATCATATTCGGTGGCATGCCAGGCAATGTTGGTGGCGGAGTGCTTTCTTTTGGAGATGGAGGAGTAGATTCAGTGCGAAACTTGCCGAACATCTCTTGGGCCACCTGCTCAAATTTCTCCGCTTTCGTATCAAAGGTCAACGAATAATTTATATCGCATTTGGGTGTAGTATTGATCAAGTTAATAAATTGAGTAGCAATCAACTTTTTCATGGACAAAAATTCGGTAGCATTAGCTTGTTCCAACACACGATTGGTAAACTTGCAAGTGTTTTCGATTTTACCCATAGTATTTTCAATATTTTGCATTAGATCCATTATTTTCAACTCCCTTTCTGAATGCAATTTTTCAAGTTCAATCAAAGCCTGATCGCGACATTTCTCCAAAATCTTCTTATAATTTTCAAAAGTGTCCTGAATGAGATCTCGAGCAGAATCATGTTGAGTTTGAAGTTCAGTCAATGCACTGGACAAATTAGCAGCAGCATCATCACAATATTGCACCTAAAATTAAATGCAAACATTACTTATTTAATTTTTTTTAATGAAACTTTAATTAGCCTAGGAAGATGTGAACATTTTTATTTAAAAGAAAAAGGCTGATTGAGATTTTTTTCGTTGTGATATCGAACAATGTAAAATGTTCGAATTTTTCTTACCTTTGATTTAGCCTCCTTCATTAAATTTTCAACATCTCCACGCACCGATTTCTCAGCAGATCCAATTATATCATAATGATGTTCACTACCCTTATGGTCAGCAATCAAACAGTCATTGCATACCGGGATTTGACAATTAAAACAATAGTACTTGAGATTCTCCGATACATGAACGTTACAATAAAGTGGCTTATGTATAACCAAGGGCTTATCACTATCGGCCGACTTTTGCAAATCTTCAAGTTTAACAACTCCATGATTCTCAAAACATCTCATATACTTGTGGGCATTATCGCAACCACTGCACAAAAAATTGGCACAATCATTGCAGCGAGAAATAGCATTCTCCTTACTTTTACATGAAGTGCAATGCAGTTGTTCCGATTCGATTGTTGCCAAGTCCAAAATATTGGTTAAAATATAATCGCATGTCAATGATTGAATACCCTTGACACCAACCTATAAAAGTGAAAATATTAGTTATAACATTTTAATATACGAATATGAGTTATATTAGATAAATAAATCAATCTTGCAATAATAACTATAGCTACAATAATGATTTGCTTTGTAGCAAATTTGTAAGCCTATTAGTTTTTTCTTAGCCTGTAAGTTTTTTCTTTATCTATTCAGTATCATTTAAAAATACTCCAAACTTAAATTTTAATAATGTAAACATTTAAAATGATCAAACTTACCACAGTAACTTGCTTGCAAGTAGGACACTCAATATGCGACTTAGCAGAACTTGTAGAAATATTTTCTCCGGCAACAGAAGAAATAGAAGACGATGAAGAAATATTGCCTGATTCGTCGTTTAACAACTTCGACAGACAAGATTCACAGAAGACATGAAGACATGAAAGTACACGAGGCGATTGCAAGCGGGAACTACAAAACAGGAAACAATGTTTGTGCTATGATTTAAAAAAAAGTTTATGATAGACTTACCTGCAGATCTTGCAATTTTTATCAACACCGCCTTCTCCCAATGAACCGGATGAGTCTTCTAATGAACCAGACTCCAATTCAGTTCCAATGTTACTTTCAAACACCTCACTAAACATATTGCCCCCACCGAAGCTTCCCAAAGTTAGGCTACCAGCAACTGAAGACGAACGCGACGAAACGCTTCTTAAATCCTTTGCAATCACGTTGCTAGCCAGAAGGGTATCGCTTAAATCCAATGAATTGACGAGCTTATCAACAATTGAATCCACAGTGGAAGCACTGCAATTAGAAGCGGATTCTAATGCTTTGGTAATAGGGGGTAAAGAGGATTCAAAAGAGTTGGTAGCAGAAGTGCAGCTATTAGTGGTGGCAATGGTAGTTATTGTAGAAGAGGAATTGGAGGCGGAGCTATTTAATATACTAGGTGCGTATTCCTCGAGAGTTGCCATATATAAAAACTCTTGAACCGTGCTTGATTAAAACACAAGGTGATAGATACGATATATGAAGGAATTCTTAATAATTTGTATTTGTATAATAAGGAACGTTGAAAGGGTTAATTTTTCTCCCCGATATATTTAGTTAAGTAATAGATATTTATAGTATTTTTCTTTGTTAAATAGAATGTTAATTTTTATATGGCCGTAATTTTTTATTATTTAATATTTTTTTTGTTTAAATGGCATAAAACATTATCTAATGCAATAAATTTCAAAGCAAGTCTTTGGATTTTATTGTTGTATTTTCTTCGAGAATATCCTGTCTTTTTTTATTTGTATTGATGTATGTATGAACCGATCATCCGCCAAAAGCCACTTTTGAAATTAATATTAGTTTTACTTTAGTTTTGCAGTTTTTCGTTTTATGCAATATTTCAATTCATAAGTTTGTGTTTTTTCAATTAAAATCGAAAAATTACAATGAATAAATATTCGTTATACTTTTTGGTTAGTTGGTTGATTATTATTATTTTTTTTTTTAACAATTTATATGTAAATTGTTAATAATTTATTGATTTATTTAAAACTTCTTTTTGGTATTTTTTATTAAAAGAATCACGAAATATTTGCAATATTTGTTGGTTATGTGAATTATTATAGTTTTTATTTTGATATAACTCTTTATTTTTTTCTTTTGTAATTATTGGTTGATGTAATTATTGCATTTATTTTGATGCTTCACAAAAAAACAATGTGCCACCGCCTTTAGCTTCAAAAATATGATGCAAACAGCAAAAGTGTCTTTAAAAGATTTCAAAATTTGCTGATTGTTTTCACTTTTTTAAACAATATATGTTATGTACTTTAAAATTGTTTTCACTTCCCCTGGATTTTATTTCCTTTTTGGTCTTTGATGAAAAGAATCCTTGTATTGGCCTCGTTTGTTTATATCCCTTTAATTATTAGTCTGCTTCTTAATCATCCTGCAAAATTTAAATATAAATTCATTTAAAAATTTTTACTTGAATTCACATTAAACGCTATGATTACTTATAAAACAATTTTTTATTATATAACAAGTGAAAGACAAACTCAAAAACTGGCTTTTTATACCCAGAAAAAACTTGTTGTGCTATATATTTCCCAATAAATTTTCACATTATTCCGATTCGCATAAAATTTTGTTATAATTTTCCCCATCAATTTCCATCTCATCAATCTTACTGGATGTTTGAATATGTAATTAACTCAAAATATGCACTCGCTTGACTATTAATAGTAGTAAATTTGCTTTTAACAGAAACTTAACATTTTAGAGACAACAAATAATTCTGAAAGTTGAGGTATATATTTTTCGTGAAATTTTTGGCATAAATTACAAACATTATAAATTTTAGTTCTTGTCAGGTCATTTACATTGTGTTATATTTAAAGAAATAAAGTTTCAAGTAATGGATATTTTCAAAGGGATAATATTATTTATAATGATGGACGTTCGTAGAACATAGTTAAAACAAATTTTAAGTTATCACACTATTGAACTTAACGTGCGATATGTATCTAGTACATAATTGATTACATGACGTTCTCGTTATTGCTATTTTTCAGTCGGGTTATTTGGACTGAGTACTAGAAAATATGTGTCAGTCTTTCATATATTAACACCTACTTTATTCTATAGTTACCCAGCAAAAATAATTGATGTCATACTTTACAGACGACATCTTAATCGCATCCAAAAATGTGATTACATATTTTTCGCTTTTATAAACCAACCCAGCAAAAAAAGTGTGGAAAAAGATGTAGTATTTTCACCACAACTAGTAACCCGAAGTGATTCAAATTCGGGTGAAAAACCTATGAATTTTACATTAGCGTGTCATTGGAGGGATGTTGTTCATTTTTGACATCTATGAACTGGATCTAATCTTATTATTAGAAGCAGTAAAAATACGATAATTGGATGTTAAAAATAAACCACATTCTTTTAATGACAGGCTTATGTAAATTTCATTTCCCCATTTTTAACTGGGTTATTACTTGTGAGGAAATTTTTGGTTTCTAAAAGCGAAAAATATGTTATCGCATTTTTAGATGTGAATAAGATGTCGTTTGTAAAGTATGACTTAGGTTAGTTTTTGCTGGGAAATATTTCCTTACAAATGAAAGCCCAGTTAAAAGTGAGGAAAGATATGTAGAAAAGTCACTACAAATAACTTATTCGAAATACATCAAACTTTGCTGAAAAAACAATGAAATTTACATAAACATGTCATTGAAAGAATGTGGTTTATTTTTAACATTTAAATATCGAATTTTTACTGCTTCTAAAAATAAGATTAGATGTAGTTCAAAGTTGTCAAAATTGAACAACATCCAATGACACCCCAGCAAAAAAGTGTGGAAAAAGATGTAGAATTTTCATCACAACTAGTAAGTGCTTCCGAAGTGCTTCAAATTCGGGTGTAAAACCTATGAATTTTACATTTGCGTGTCATTGGAGGGATGTTGTTCATTTTTGGCAACTTTGAACTACATCTAATCTTATTTTTAGAAGCAGTAAAAATCCGATATTTGGATGTCAAAAATAAAACACATTCTCTTAATGACACGCTTATGTAAATTTCACTACTCTTTCACCAAATCTTGATGTACTTCAAATATGTTATTTGTAATGACTTTTCCACATCTCTTTCCTCACTTTTAACTGGGGTTTCATTTGTAAGGAAATATTTGGTTTATAAAAGTGAAAAATATGTAATCGCATTTTAAGATGTGATTAAGATGTAGTTTGTAAAGTATGACATCAATTATTTTTTGCTGGGACGCTAATGTAAAATTCATAGGTTTTTCACTAAAATTGGAAGTATGTTATTTGTGGTGAAAATTCTAATTATTTTTCCTAACTTTTTTGCTGGGTAGTTAGTTTGAACGGATTTATATACATTAGACGGACTCAAAAAAATCGTGCTTGAGTTGCGCCCTCAAAATATTCGCGGTTATGTAATATGTTACCCAAAATATTTTGGGTTTAGTGGTGTCCATTCGTGAGCTGGTCAGTTTTCAAGAAAATATCCTATGGGGTACAGGATTTTTCATGTTCAATTCAATATTTACTTAGCTTCAAAGTCTATCGATGGCCGTTCGTGAGCTGGGCCCAAATTACGGCATACGATATCGATCGAAATCTCAATAGAATCTAAATGGAGATTTCGATTGATATCGTATGCCATAATTTGGGCCCAGGACCGGTTACAAAAAAGTCCCTTTTTAGTTATTTTTTTTTTTAATTTTACAGTTTTTTTCTTAAAAAAAATATACAATATGTGTTATCGTTAATACATCATTGTACACGGCTTAAAAACACCTTTCAAACGCTACCCCATACAAAACTAAAATTAAAAAAAAAATAATTCAAAAATTCCTTTTTTTCAATTTGGTCCAGCTCACGAACGGCCATCGCTATACTACTTAAAATATTTTGGGAATCATTATAAAACAAAGCAAGGTAAATTTTAAGTGGGGTAACAAAACCACGTTTCTGCTTTCCATACAGAGTGATTCGGTCTAATATACATACATCAAATTCGAAGATATACACCTAGGCCTCTATCGGACCTGTTGAGCGCTCTTTAACCAATGCCTTAGGAGGGAATCGAACCCACAACTTTCGGTCTACCGGATGTTATAAAACATTTAATTATGTTTAATCAAAACGAATTTTTTTCATTTATGCCGATCTTGTAGTCAACAAAACAAAAACCAACAGTATGATGCATGCAACCATGACAAAATAAATTTGTAATTCTATTGTTCTATGACGTGTGGACTATCTGCATTAACGCCGTCTTAGGTGTATAATACACAAACTTACATATGTATGTAAAAATATACATATTTCTTAATTGCTTAAATATATACATACATATATTTATCGCTCATTTACTACAATATTCGGGTTTTTTGAAGTGAGAGCTAAAAAAAATGCGTAATACTAAAGTTTTAGGTATGAGATTGATTTTTTGTTGTAAACGTAAATACAAAAAATAGATAAGGAACACACTAAGCTCTACTATATGAATCTGGTTTAATTTAAGTTATTTAAAAAATTTCATTAAACTTTCAAAGCCATTTTTCTCGAAACGGCTTTTTTGTATTTTACTACGTTCACATATTCGTGTTTTTTTGAAGCACATCCTGTTTATACAAAAAAAACTTCAAATTTGACTCGTTTTTCCATACATTTTTAATGTTCAATAACCTCAATTCGACGTGTTTAATTATAAAACACATAATGTTTTTCAGAACAGGAATGATTTTTTCCGTACTTATTTCTCTATTTTCAACTAACTATTTATAAGAACTTGTCTTTAAAGTTCGAGTTAGTTAATCGGCCCAATAGGTATTATGTAGTATGTGTGGCAGCTAGACTCCATTAGTGAAACCTTCGCAAGACAATCACACAAACATTTTGTACGAAGTTGGTCTACTTGAGTAAAATTTCCTTATAGTGTTGTCAACTAAGAACGATTGGTCTAGATTTGATAATCTGTTTATTTGAATAAATAAATAAAATTAATAATTAAAACTTAATTGCATAAAATATAATATTTATTGATATTAAATCTTAGAAAAAAATACCATGTGAGTTAAGTTTAAATACCCAGCAAAAAATAATTGATGTCATACTTTACAAACGACATCTTAATTACAACAAAAAATGCGATAAAATATTTTTCACTTTTATAAACCGAATATTTCCTTGCAAATGAAAACCCAGACAAAAGTGAGAAAAGAGATGTAGAAAAGTCATTACAAATAACATATTTGAAGTACATCAAGGTTTGGTGAAAAACCAGTGAAATTTACATAAGCGTGTCATTAAGAGAATGTGTTTTATTTTTGACATCCAAATATCGGATTTTTTTCTGGTTCTAAAAATAAGATTAGATGTAGTTCAAAGTTGCCAAAAATTAACAACATCCCTCCAATGACATTCTAATGTAAAATTCATTGCTTTTTCACCCGATTTTAAAGCAATTCGGATTATTAGTTTTGATGAAAATATTACATCTTTTTCCACACTTTTTTGCTGGGTAACATAGGCCAACGAAATGAAGGTTAAAAAAACCTTTGAAACCAACTTGACCGGATTTCATGAATTTCAAGGTGCCGAAAGCGAATCTAATATAGTTTTTTCATATTACCCACAGTTTTCTTGGAATATAGAATGGGATATTTAGTTCATATAATACATACATTTTATATAATTATGAAAATATATTTACGCTTAAGGGTTAATTTGTATTGTTCCGGTGTCATAAATATGGGATCATTTAAATTGGTTGAAAAGTAAATAATATTTCACTACGTTTTCATGAAAATTTCCTAATATTGTATAATTTGAGTTTGACCTTCACATTATTCGGCTTTACTAAAACTTCTGATACATGTTTCATATTATCTGCAATTTTTTATTCTGAAAAGGTTTTTTTATAAAGTGCATAATAGTAAAGAATTAAGCCTGATTTTCAAATATGTTACGAACAAATTGTTTTATTTTTGCGAAAACCTCAGGTACCGTCGATTTGTGAGATTGTTTTTTTACTATTTGATTCCCCTACATACTATCCTTGAATAACATGACTACTTGATTCCCCTACATATTTTCTTCAATCCTTGAAAAACATTAGGATTTTCGAAAAATCGTAAAATTATATTTTAACAAAATGTTTATATGTTTGAAATTGAAGTTTTAAAAAAATACAGTTTACGTTATCTAATGAAGATTAAAGCTCACATTGAAGTAAATACAAATTTGTTAATTGTAAATTCTTGATTTTATTAGAATATTTTCCAAATAATATTTTTTAAAATTAAAAAATTAAAATTTTTTAAACATTTCTCATTTAAGTGTTTTGTGACAAAAGGATCTGAGGCATTTGTAATAACCAGGGAAACAAAAAGATGCTCTAAAACAAGT